CTGTTCTTTTAAAGTACATTTTCTGGAACTAGCAAGCAATTCCTGATCAAAACCCTAAGTGCCCATACCATAAGAAATAAGATAGAAAAGTGGGACCTCATCAAATGGACGAGCTTCTGCAATGCCAAAGAAACCATCAAGAGAGCAGGGATACTGCCCACAGATGGGAAAAAAATATTTGCCAACTGTGTATCTAACAGTTTTTGGATACAGTTTCATGTTTGCTGATGTGACTCAGAAAATAGTCATTCACACACACACATGTACATGCATGCTTGGACACACACAAGTCCAGGAAACACTAGAGGAGACCACCCCCCCAAAAAACTCAGAATTTATTTCTTGAAAATTGTGTTTACTGTTGCATGTTTAAACTTCAAAGTACGCTATGCTTGATGCAATACACCTATTGAGACATCTTTTTCCACTGCTGAAAACAGTTTTTGAATGCATCAATTTTGATGCCTTTTAGTACTTTTGCCTTTTTTTTTTCTTTTGGTTTCACCTCTTCCACATTAGCAAAAGTTTTCCCTTTGAGAACTTTCTTCATCCAGGGAAATAAGAAAAGTCTCTGGGGAGAAATCCAGTGAATAGGGAGGATGGGGCACTGGGGTCATGCCATTTTTGGTCAAAAGCCACTGAACACTCAGCATGGTGTGGGCAGGTGCATTGCCATGGGGAAAGAACCAGTCACTTTTTGCCACAACTTAAGATGTTTTTTCTGCAAATCATGACACAATCTTCTCAAACTTCCTGATGAAAACTTTGATTGACCATTTGGTCTGGAGAAACAAATTCCCAGTGTACTACAAGGGACCCACCCTCCAAAAGATAATTCCAGGGGATTTTTTGGGTCCCCCTCATACGTCTTTGGGTTGAAGTAAAATTAAGGCAAAAAGCATTAACACTAAATAAATGGGCTAAATATGACACTGAACGTGCTCAAACTTGGAAACTGGTAGGCTAACTATAATCAAACTTTGATTTGCATTTCCTTATAAATGTGTTTATTTCCTTTTTCAAATTTATATGCTTACATTCTTGTGAAAATCTTTCTCTGTGCAAACTACAGACATAATCTGGAGTGATATAGTACTCATGGCTTGCTTCACAGTATGTTGTAAAAAAAAAAAGATAATTATGCTTTATCAATATTCATTTGGATCCTTCATGAAGATTTCACTTACATGGTCTCATGTATGATTAACTATCTTGACAGAAAGACGTAACCATTCAGCTGTTCCAGAGCTCAAGATAAAGCAAGATGTCATGATGTAGGCAGTATTTAATTAGTTTAATTATTTTACCACAACAGAGACAGAGAAGAAGTTGGGTATGTGGCTTGTGAAGTCAAGGGAAGGATATTTGAGTCCTGGCTCATGCCACATTCTGAGTTGCAATGCGAACCACTTCCCTGAGCTTATGTCTCCAGGTAGAGCAGGGGTTACCTCTCCACAGTGAGGACTGAAGATCCTCTGTGGTGCATGTTCATCAGGCTGTGCATTCAGCAAGCAGCTGGGCATCTAGCAGGGCTTCCAAAATGATAGTGAACAAAGGTGAAGAATGCTTCTGCAAGCCAAAATTCATGTTCCTGATGCTTGTGGAACCGAACTGCATTTAAGACAGAGCAGTTGTGGAAAATAAAACAATGTTCTATCATGGAGGCTGAAATGCCTGGGACACAAAGAACACTGAGTATAGAAGTTTGTTGGGTTTTCTGGTCAAGGAAAGCTCAATTATGTGGTGTTCCTAGATTTGCTGAGAGTTACAAAGAAGCACAGCCGGAAACTGGCCATGCTTCTGGTGACAGGCAGGTGAGTTTGGGCAGGACAAAGACTGGTAATTTGGAAAGTAGGAGTGAACCCTGCAGGGTATAATTATAAGTGAATTAGTTTTCAAGATTCTGATGAAATAAGATCATGAATAATTTCTGAATCTCTAGAGGTTTTCATTCAGGCTCATGGCAAATATACCAGCTCATAACAGAGCTGGACCAACAAGCTCAAAAAGATGCTCCATCACAGAATTTACAAATAGTCTCTCCCCAAAACCCCAAAAGCAAAGTAAAAGAAGGAGCCAGGAGAGAAGAGCCTTGCATAGTCTGCATGGAGTCAACTGTCACTGTGGACCAGAGGACAGGCAAGGTAGGACAGGCAGGATGTAGAACCTAGACCTAAGGATGGGCCTGGGCCCAGATGAGTGAAGGAGTTTGGGGAGACCCTCTACCCTGAGCAACAACCACACAGTGTCCCTGGGGCCTGAGGACAGGCCTGGGCCCAGATAAGCAAGAGGGACCCTCTCACCCTAAGTGACAACTGGGCTGCATAACTCAACCCTTAGGGAGAAGGAGAAGTCTACTAGGAGGTTGCTCATGATCTTCACTAAAACAATTTTATTTTGAGGGCACACGTTTCCAGTTTGAAAGTCCCATTTTCAGCTTGTTAAAAACAGAGAATCTAATACTATAAGAAAAGGATTGACAGTAGCGGGAAACTGTGGGGGCGTGAGGGGGCAGGGAGGTGGGATTAGCAGCAGTGGGAAACCGCCTGGAAGGAGGGGCACACCACATCAACAAGGGTACCTGCGCAATGAATATTTGTATACCTAACCCTGAATTGTACTCAACAATTTTTTTATCAATATTTTTTATTATGATGTTGTGGGGTACAGTTAAGGGTTACATGTACAACTACGTTTCATTCAGGTACCCTATTGATAAGAGGTGTTTCCCCCTCCCCAGACAGATATTTGCTACTGTTAATCCCATCTCCCCCCCCCATAGTTTCCCAATACCATCAGTCATTTTCTTATAGTATTACATTGGATGTT